TATTACAACAAAACCAAAACACTGAAAAAAATTGGAGAAAATGTAAGATATCCAATATCAAAAACAACTGATCTAGCAATCAAGTCAAGGGAGAAATAATTTAAGAAACTCTGGATTTGGGAAGGCCAACATGGTAGCACAGAGGAAGCATTATAGCCAAGCTCTCCCAAGATTCCATTCCAAATAATTTTAAAATAACTCCTCAAATTGAATTCTGGAACAGCATAGTCAACAAAAGGTCAGGCTGAGACATTTAACAGCCCCAAAACTTAGGACGATGGATGGAGAGGTCAGTGATACTGAGGTGAGGGCTGGCCAGAAACTGACATGGGGCCAAACACCAGCTGTGAGCCTCAGAGATGGCTGCAACAGCAGCAGCAGTTTCAGGTACTCTCAGCCTGGAGATAATGAAGAAAATTGGACAACTGGTTAGAAAGAAATAATAGGGTAAAGGACTGAGGATCAGACACTCTTTGGCAACTCCACTGCACATACCCACTTGTGGGTTGCAATTCCAGGTGGACAGGAATGCTTGTGATCACAAGGGAGCAGCAGTTCTGGTCACAGCTCACAGGGCAGAGAGAAGCACTTGTACTTTAAAGAAAACAGAGGCCCTACCTGGGCCTCAAAATTAATAGTTGGTGAAAGAGGCTCAAAAAAAACCAAATAAAAAATACCTAAAAAAATACCTTTAAAACACCCTCCCCCCGAATTGGCCAAGTAGAAAAAGAGGTACAGAAGCTCACTAAAGAAAATAATTCCTTGTGCAAGTAGAAGCTAATGACTACATCAGACATTAAGAAACAAGAAAACGAAGTCAAGAGAATGAAAAAAAATAGAAGAAAATATGAAATATGTCACTGAAAAAACAACTCACCTAGAATTCAGATAAAGGAGAGATAATTTAAGAATTATTGGACTACCTGAAAGCCATGATTAAAAAAAAAAAAGAGCCTGGCCATTATATTTCAAGAAATTAAAAAGAAAAACTGCCACATTTTAAAACCTAAAGATAAAATAGAAACTGAAAGAATCCACCCACCTTCTAGAAGAGATGCCAAAATAAAAATTCCTGGGAATAGTGTAGCTAAATTCCAGAGCTCTCTGGTCAAGGGAAAAACACTTCCAGCAGCCAGAAAGAAGGTACTCAAGTCATAGTCAGGATCACACATGGTTTAGCAGCTATCACATTAAAGCAGTGGAAAGCTTGGAATATTATATTCCAAAGGGCAAAGGAGCTACAATTAAAACCAAGAATCACTTACCCAGCAAAACTGAGTATCATCATTCAGGGGAAAAAAATAGACATTCAATGAAATAGAGGACTTTCAAGCATTCCTGATGAAAGGACCAGAGCTGAATAGAAAAATTGACTTTCAAATACAAGACTGGAGAGAAGCATAAAAAAAGAAACAAGAAAGAGAAACCATAAGGGATTCAAAAAGGTTAAACTTTTTACATTCCTACATGGAAAGATCATACTTGTAACTCCTAAGAACTTTCTCATTATCAGGGAAGTCAGGAGTATTCATAGAGGATATGAATGTGAGTTAAATATGAAGAAATAATACCAAAAAAAAAAATGAAGGGAGGGATAAAAAGGAATGCATTGGGAGAAGGTAGGAGAAAAAGGAAAAATGGGGGGAAATTATTTCACATAAAAGATGCATACAAGGAAGAGCTTTTACATTGGAGGGGAAAATGGGGTCGAGGCAATGCTCGAACCTTGCTCTCATCTAAACTAGTTCAAAGAGACATATGTGTGTGTGTGTGTGTGTGTGTGTGTGTGTGTGTGTGTGTGTGTGTGTGTATAAACAAACTCAATTGGTATAGAAATCTATCTCACCCAATAGGGAAGTAGGAGGGGAAGGGGATAAGAGAAAGGGTGAGAAGAATAGCAGATTAAGGAAGTCAGTAGCTAAAAAGCAAAACAGACACCTGAAGAGGAAGAGGATAAAATAAGAAAGAAAAATAAACAGAGGAAAACAGGATTGAGAGAAATACAGTTAGTAATCATAACTGGGAATGTGAATGGGATGAACTCACCCATAAAACAGAAAGAAATAACAGAATGGATTAGAAACCAGAATGTAACAATATGTTTACAAGAAACAGACTTGAAACAGAAACACACACAGAATTAAAATAAGGAGCTGTAACAAAACCTATTATACTTAGGCTGAAGTAAATATAGCTAGGAATCATGATCTCAGATAAAGCAAAAACAAAATCAGACCTAATCAAAAGGAATAAGCAAGGAAACTACATTTTGCTAAAAGATATGATAGACCATGAAGTAATGTCAATACTAAACATATATGCATGAAACGGTATAGTATCTATATTCTTAAATGAAAGCTTAAATGAGTTACAGGAGGAAACAGTAAAACTATACTAGTGGACTTCAACTTTCCCCTCTCAGAACTAAATAAATATAACCATAAAATAAATAAGAAAGAAGTTAAAGAGATGAATAGACTTTTAGAAAACTTAGATATATGATAGACCTCTGGAAAAAACTGAATGGAAATAAAAATAAGTACACTTCTTTTCTCAACTGTACATAGCACCCTCACAAAAACTGACCATCTTAGGGCATTAATACCCTACAAACAAATGCAGAAAAGCAGAAATATTAATTGCACTTTTTGGACCATAATACAATAAAAATTATATTAAAGGGCTTTGGAAACATACACAAAAAACTAACTGGAAACTAAATAATCTAAAACTAAAGAATGAGTGAGTCAAAGAACAATCCATAGAAACAATCTGTAATATCATTAAAGAGAATGAGAACAATGAGACAACATGCCAAAATTTGTGGGATGCAACTAAAGCACAACTTAGGGTTAAACTTACATTTTTTAAAACTTATATCAATCTAAAAAAAAAAACCAAAACCAAAAATCAATGCAGATCAATGAACTGAGGTATGTAACTAAAAAAATAAGAACAAATTTAAAATCTCCAATAAAATACCAAAGTAAAAATCCTGAAAATCAAAGGAGAGATTATTAGAATTAAAAGTAAAATAGCTATTGAACCAATAAATAAAACTGGGGACTGGTTTTGTTTTTCAGTTTTTTTTTTTAGGCAATTGGGGTTAAGTGACTTGCCCAGGGTCACACAGCTAGTAAGTATCAAGTGTTTGGTCTGAGGCCACATTTGAACTCAGGTCCTCCTGACTTCAGGGCCGGTGCTCTATCCTCTGTTTTTTTTTTTAATTGGTTAATTTGATTTTTTTAGAAGAAAAATTACCAGTATCAAAAATAAAAAGGTTAAATGCACCACCAACAAAGATGAAATTAAAGCAATTATTAGGAGCTATTCTGCCCAATCATGGGCCAATAAAACTGACAATCTAAGTGAAATGGAAGAATATTTACAAAAATCAAAATTGCCCAGATTGACAGAATAGAATACTTAAATAATCCTATCTTAGAAAAAGAAATTGAATAAGTCATAAATGAGCTCCCTAAAGAAAAAAAAATCCACAGGAGCAGATGAATTTACAAGTGAATTCTAACAAACATTTAAAGAACTAATTCCAATGCTATATAAACTATTTGGAAAAAATAGGCAAAGGAGTCCTACCAAATTCCTTCTATAAAACAAATGTGATTTGATATCTAAGCCAGAGAGAGAAAAGCAGAGAAAGTAAACTATAGACCAATTTTCCTGATAAATATCGATGAAAAACTTTAAATAAAAAACTAGCAAGGTGTCTTCAGCAATATCTCACAAAGATCATGTACTATGACTAGTTGGGATTTACACTGGAATGTAGGGCTGGTTCAGTGTAAGGAAAGATCTCTTAGAACCAGAGCAAAGTGAAGAAAAAATCCAATGATCAATTCCTTAAAGAAATGAAAAATTTAAAGTCCCAGAAATGTCATAATCAATACCCAGACAGTAGTTCAAGTTTCAAAGATCCAGTCAGGATCACACAAGGTCTGGAATTTTTTATTATAAAAGATTTTGGAATACAATATTCCAAAAGGAAAAAATTATACTCTTAAAATCAAGAATAATTTATCTTTAAAAGCTGAATATAATCTTGTTGGGGAAGGGGAACAAATGTATCTTTAATGGAACAACAGGTTGACGTTGTGCTAATATTCGAATGGGTGAAGAAAAAGACTCGTTCAGAACCTTAATGTCTTCAAAGGGTAGCTAGGAAATTAAGACTAAAATAAAGCATCTTATGGATTAATTCCATTATCAAGTTTTTTAATTAGGAAAAAAAATGGGGAGTAAAAAGTAAATTAGTGTAGTAGAAAGATGGAGACTGAATTTACTATTTCTCATGATTGGGTTGTATAAAAAGTGCATAGAAACATGGAGGAAGGGGTAAGAATGAGCATCAGAATCTCACTCTTACATAAAATAGACCATCATTCCATACCACATTTTGCATTTTGGTTAGAATTTTTTTTTTTAGTAGTAATGTGACTGTCTCCTGGTTAGATGTCCTATAATAATGTTGTCTTGGTAGTAGGATCATGTGTCCAAAGCAATCTTTTATATCAGAAGTTCCTATCCTTTTTTTGTGCCAAAGACCCCTTAGGTAATCTGGTGAAGGCTATGAACCCCTTTTCAGAACGTTTTTAAATGCATAAAATACAAAAACCTAAAAATTAAATCAATTATGTTGAAATACAATTATTGAAACACATATTTAAAAGTTCACAATTAAGAACCTCTGTTAAACATACATGTCTCCACTTTTTCATACCTCATAAGACCTTCCCCTTCCTTGCCCCACCCATGATCCCCTACTTTTACATTTTATGTAAATTGATTATTATTTAGATTCTGATATCAGAGGTGTTAAACTTCTGTTGATTTGAGATGTAACAGAAGATAGAGGCTAGTGGGAGTTACTGCAGGTGCAAAGCTGGGAATGTGTCAACAATGTGTCAGAATTTTAAAAAAAACAAAACAAAAAACCTTGCCCAATCTATCCATATATAGACACACAATTAATGTAATGAGTATTTGGCGAAAGTGAAATTAAAATTTATTGTTACTATGGATTAGTTACACAACTAATTCATGACAAATAATCAAACAGCAATATACACTCCGTGGTTAATCCTCAAGACGAGGGTTTAGGTGCCTCTTCAAATCTGGGGTCTGTAAACGAGGAAAAAAAATCCAAGTTACTAATCTTTACATACATAACAAAGTAAAAAAGAGGGCAGGGAGAGAAATGGGTACTTCTTTGTAAATTTCACCCTGTGCATATAGTATTTGGAAAGTAAACAAACTCCAATTCTTTTAAGTTAGTTCAGCAGCATGAAGAAAAAAAACCAAAACCCAAAACTTGTAAGACTATACTTGACTTCATTCTGCAAGGGATGATAACTTTGAATATTTAGGAAATACTGATATGTATTTTCCACTACTTTAAATCAGGATAAGCAGCTGGACAAGACAAATTACATGAAGAAATCTATACAGGAATCTGTCACAATCTTGAAATCTTGAAAGAATAGAGTTTTTTTGTTTTGTTTTTTAACATCTCAGACAGGAGAGATACCAAAAGAATGGTTAAAAATTATGTACATATTAATCCTGAACCTGACAATTAGTATCCCTGAGAACTGAAGCAAATCATTTAACCACTCTGAGACTCCATTTCCTTATCTGTAAGTAAAACACAAAGGATTGGACAAGATGATTTCAAGGTTCCCTTCCAGCTCCAAATCTAAGATCCAAGGAAAAAGATAAATATGGTCCTGCAAAGGATGTACCTTATGAGGTGCAAGGGGGAAGTCTGATAGAAGCTATTAAGAGAGATAAAGGTAGTATTGCTTCAGAGGAATAGCAATTCTGACTAGGCGTAAGAGATAAATGTTGCAGTGAAGAAAAATTTGAACTCTTGTAAGAGGCTCTCCCAGGTCCCCCAGTTCTAGTAGTACCTTCTCTTCTCAGACTACCTTCTAACAATTCTGTATCTATCTTGTCTTCCCTAGTTACTTTCATGTTGTCTCCTCCATTAGAATGTTAGCATTTTAAGAGCATGGGTATTTTTTTTCGTTTCTTTGTATCCCCAGAGCTTAGCAAAGGGCCTCTCACATAGTAAAGCACTTAAGAAATGCTTGCTGCTTTGACTTTTATCCAAGTCTGCTAAAAATGATAAACCACTCAAGGGTACTGCATACTGATGTCAAGTCATTAATGACAACTCTTTGGGGCCAAATAATTCCACCTAATCATATAATTACATCCAGTCTACAAGGACAGCATAGGGCTTTGTCAAAGGCATTGCTAAAATCTAGGTAAACTATATCTAAAGTATTCCCCTAAACTACCAGTTTAGAAACCATTTTGGTTTTTTTTTAAAAAAGGAAATTAACTTAGTCCGGCATGCCCTGTTTTTGATAAAGCTATGCTGACTTTTTGATCACTACTTTTTCTAGTTGATCAATAGCCACGCCTTAAGACATGCCAGAATGCTGCCCAAATTGAAGTTCACTGGACTATAATTTGTAGATGCCATTCTATTTCCTTCTTTAAAAACTGTGAATATTTGTCCTTTTCTAGTTCTGCTATATCTCTCTCAACCTTGTGGATCTTTCAAAGATCACTAATAGTAACATCAATAACACCTCCCAGTCTTTTCAAGTATCATAGAATGCTGTATAACTTCACCTTACCAAGAGAAGTTCTCTTATTGTCCCTCAAATCTTTTTTACTAATGTCCACACCCCAAACAGATTATTGTTTGGGGAGAAAAAAAGAATCAAAGTAAGATTTGAGCAACTGTCTTTGCTGTATCTTCTGTTATCATTATACCACCTACCCAAAGTAGCAAACCTATTATCTATCTATAATCCTTTTCCCTCACCTATTCAGCTTAACACCAACCCCTACCCCACCCCTGCCTGCACCCCTCTACGAAAGGGAAACTTTGTGGTTATCCTTGGAATTCATAATTAGTCTCATCTGAGGGTGAACTTTAACATTCTGGAATGTGCCACATCTTTGTATTCATCCTTGCCTAGAGATGGGAACTTTCTTTTGTAAAACAGGGAAAGTTCAAAAGTCATCTTTGGAACAGCTAATCCTCTTAGGTGTCTACTTGTGATACCTATTTGGAGACTGACAGAAATCCTAATTTCTGTCTGCTCTGAGGATGAGTTGGTTGTCAAAAGTGTTACTCGACACATTTCATATAGATGCCTAAATTTTGCAGGTGAACTTTCTCATCTTCCCTTTCCTTGTCTAGATACTAATTTATCATAATTAGTTATTTGGAGAAGCATCTAATGCCAAATATGGGTAGGAGAACTGAATCAATTCTCCATTTTAGGAGAAAAATTCCAGAAACCCAGAAAAAAAACATTCATTCTATATTCTCAAAGCTACCAAGTGGAGTCAAAAGATGTGGCTCTACAACTGAGCAACTCTGAACAAATCACTTAAATCTTACAGTACCTCTATTTTCTCCTCTGTGAAATGGGTATAATATTACTTGGCCTAACTCATAGGGTTATTATGAGAATCAAAAGAGATAATGTACATAAATAAAATGTAAATCAACTTTGAAATACTCTAATCCAAGTTAAGTACTATAAATAAACTGTTAACTGAACGCTTAACTCCTGGCACCAGCTAATCAACCAAGAGAAAACAACAACTAAGCTCAAATAAAAATGTCTCTAAAGCAATAAAAACTTTTTTGGCCATGAAAAAACACAACACTGGCTTCTCCACACTATTTTATATCAAGCAAAGGCTTTTATTTTTTTAAGAAAAGAATGCTTTTTGGGCAGCTAGGTGGCACAGTAGATAGAGCACCAGCCCTGAAGAAAAGATGACCTGAGTTCAAATCCAGCCTCAGACCAAACACTTGACAGTTTCTACTTGTGTGACCCTGGGTAAGTCACTTAACCCAATTGCCTAAAAACTAAAAAAAGAAAAAAAAAGAATGCTTTTCCACACTAAACAGGAAAAATGCCTTCAGCCACACAGTTTAATTATATCTTTCAATAGCCTGGATAATCAATCAACAAACATTTATCAAGCACCTTCTATATGTAAGGCAACATGAAACAATCCCTACTCTCAAGTTTACATTCCATCTGGAAAGACCACTAGTATATTTATAAGTATATACAAAATAAGCATAAACAGAAAATAAATTATATCATAATAGGAGGATGAGGAACAAACAAAGGAGAGTAAGGACTGGTCAGACAGGAAGAGAACCAGGAGAAAATATCACAAAAAGAGATAAGGAAGGAAGGAGTAAAAGGCAGGAGTATTCAGGAGGAGGGAATGGTCAACAGAGTCAAATATCTCAAAAGTACAAAAACACTCTTTTCTCAATTTACAAATGCTGACTACATGATGGTCAATTTGCCGCTGTAAATTTCCATAATATAATACTCAAAATACTATAGTATGAAAAAAAATTTTTTTTAAATAAAAAATAAAAAAAATGGTATAGTACACATAGATCACATCACCCTTCTGGAGTGGCAGAGGAATTCAATCTGTTTAAATACAAATCTTTTTGACTAAACAACTTTACTTTTAAAAAATACACCACAAATCTGTCAATAACCAGTCATTTTGAAATCTCAAAATATCTCTGCGCTAACTTTAGCTTGCTCCAATGGAGCAATGAAATATGCTTCCAAATTAAGTTTATACCTATAAATCACTAACCCAGGATTTAATTTGAAAATTAAAACTTACCTTCAAATTTGAAAGTTGGGAATGTATTCATGTCTGCTTTACCATACATCTGCTTAAGCTTGAATAGTTCCCTCTCCAGATCTTGTTGATATTCAGGACCTATATCAACTGGTCCTCCAGCTGCCCTAATGTGCAAAAAAATAAAAATTCATACTATTATTTACACAAAATAATTTTCATTTCACCAAGTAACAAGAGGTCACTGGAGAGTATGTATCTGGGGATCTGAAAATATATTTGGGGGAGGGGAGGAAACCAGGACTGTGATTTTTATCAGTATAGGGAACTCTATTTTAGACCTGGAGCACTGAGACACTGTAAGATCTGCCCATGGTCTCACAGCTAGGGGAGGACTTCAACTCAGGTTTTCCTGGCTACAAGACCAGCCCTCTACCCATTGAACCACATTGTTTTTTAGTGAACAGAGGTATTGTTTGATTTCGAACTAATTGATTTAACTGTTAACACCTGATGTAATACCAATTCAAGAACAAATTATGGCTATTAAGTAAGGAGTACAATATAAGGAAGCTAGTGTGGTATGATGAAAGGAGCAAAGGAATGAAAGTCAGAAGACTTGGCTCTGATTTCTACTGTCTAGCATAGTACCTAGAACATAGTACATTTTTAAGTACCTGAAGAGTAAGTACAAATAGAAAAAAAATACAAATAATTACAAGTTAGCTGCGGAAGGAAGGCATTAATATTTAGGGAATGAGGAAAGGCTTCACAAAGGTACTACTTGAGTTGTGTTTTAAAGAGAGAGATTCTTCCAGGAGGTAGGAGTAAAAAGGGAGTGCCTTTGGGTTGTGCATGAAGACCATAACTAAAGGCAGAGATAGGAGATGGAGTGCAGTAAGTATGTGAGGACCAGAGATAAAGGCACTTTTTCTTCTAAAGTGGGTAGGGTACTAAAATACAAGGAGGATGGAAAGATAAATTAGGGAGGAAGGGTTTGTATAAAGTTTTTCTGGTTCGCCCAGCAGCTGGTACCTTCCCCTTTCAGATTACCTGGTATCTACTTTGTGTGTATCTTGTGCACATACATGTGTGTATACAAACATATAAAAATGTATAAACACATTATTATTTACTACAGATTTCCTTTTAAAAGTTTCACCTGGATTAAGTCTACACCAATTTAGTTACTGAACTACTAAAAATAACTTGTTATAAGGCAGTTATTCATATAAAGTATTCCCTTAAAAGTTTAACAGTTCTACAGGAGATTCTTGTATATTTTAATACATTTGACAATCAAAAAGGTTTTTTATTGCAATCAAGAAAATACACTTTGACTACTTAGATAAATATTTTATTTCTACTTACTGTCTCTTGGATTTATATTCTCTAATCTTGTCTACAAAGAGTTTTTGAACAGGATCAAGTTCCTTGTTAAATGCAACAGCTGTAACACCAATGTTCCTTCGAAAATACACTGAAGTTGCAGACTGAACAAGAGATAAAAACCTGGACAGCCTTTTAAGAGCCATGGTGATCCTAAAGATAAATTAACAGAATGAAACAAACAGGTTCAATGAACGGCAATGTACATCCTAATTATAAACTCAGCCCATTACTCTCATATTTCCAAGATCCTTTCATGTTTAAAATCCCTTCCTTTCAGTTTTTTATGCTCTTAAGCACATAAAAGGCTACAAAGAGTTAGTGTTAGGAACCTAGAAATAAACAATTATAAGGAACTAAAACCTGATCATCAAGATCTAAACCTATCTAGACTTTTCAGCTGACACATACCAGGAGGTGGTCAAGGGTTAACTAGAGGGAAAAAATGAGGTCGAAACATTAAGTGTTAGCACAAACAATCTGTATATAAGAAAACATAAGGATACTGTGGCTCCATTCCCAGTTAGGATGTTAGAGCAGCTATGCAATCGGCATGTTACTATTATCATAGTATTATGATATTCATATTATATTCATAACTATTATCATATTCATAAATATCCAATTACACTTCATTATGCAACTTACCTAAATATGTCCTTTTCTTACTGAATCTATTTCTTCTAAATTCACGTATTAAAAGTGAAAGAACTTTTAAATCCCTAACCACTGCTCTTTATTACAGGTTTAAAGCTAGAAGGGATCTTGATGCCTTCCACATTTTAGAGATGAGGGCTCAGAAAGGTTAAGAGCACTTCACACTCCACCCTACCCATCTCTTCTTCTGCACTTTGCACCAAAGCAAGCGGGAAGCTGCAGGTAAGCCCAGAGCCCCTTCCCTGTACACTAACTTGTCCTGGGAGTGCCCTTGGACCCCCAGTACGCCACAGCCCGCTTTCTCCTCCCGGTCAATACAATCATATATCCCCAGGCCTCCCCAACCCCCACCCAGCAGGCTCAGCTCAGTGAGATTCTTTTTTTCCTCACAAGTGAAGGAGCGCGGCGTGGGACACCAAGGGCAAAGGGCCCGTCCCTTCTCCAGGGGACATGATGCAGGCGGCCGCTCACCTCCCGCAGCTTTTCTGGGGGGCCCCTTGGCCGCAGAGAGCTCCGCACCAGCCTGACCTACCTGGCCCGACCTGGCTCAGTCACAGTAACCTTGCACCCACTCCGGACGCGTCTGCGCTTGAAAGCCACCAGCGTCGTACTTCCGGTCCTTGCTCCGCCCCACTTGGCCTCCCCACCCTCCGAATTGCATTATGGTTCTCCGCTACCACTACAGGCTCTCGCTACTTACCGGAGAGGGAGGAACGTTGGACGCCCGCCGTGACTTTCCTCGACCCAGGTGAGTTCTATGGCGAGTTTTTCGGGAGGAAACGGAACGTAAAGTGCTTCCGGGTCCTGTGACGAACACCCCGCCACCGCCATCTTTTTCTGTCCCTTCTTCCCCCTACCCTTCCTGCCCTTCCCACCCTTTCCTTCTTCCCCCCTCCCACAAGCCGCTCGTGGAAACCATTGATCTGTACGCATGCGCACTGGAGCGCTATTTTTCTCCTGGTCCCCTTTCTAGGTTGTTGTTAATACGTTTAAAGCAGAGCGTAGGAGAATGCATGTAGAAGGGTTCGGGATAGGTGGCGGTCTTGTGGTCCCGTGAACCTCCATTTTCCGAAGCGGGGAGACAGAGGGTGAAGGGCTTGTTCCCCGCGGGTCCGGCTCTGGGTGTCAGGGGCGGAGGGGGGGTGGTTCTAGGAGTTGTAGTCTGGGGCCCGTAAGCGCCTGGCGAGCCGGAGGGGGCGGGGGGTGTTCTGATCTCTGTTTGGGTGCCGGAGAAAGGCCCCGAGGTCCGAGCTGGGCCGGAGCCGTGGCTTTGCTGGGGGAGTCGAAGGAAGCAGAGCCGGAGGCGCCACGGTTGTCAGTTGGCTCCGACACCCTATAGGAGAAAGAGGCTGATTCCCAAAGCGGGTGAGTGGCCCAAGTCAGGGAGGGGCCGAGGCTGGCGAGCGGGGGCCGCCGCCAGGGTCCGGGCCCGGGCTCGAGGCTTTCCCTTTCCCACTAACCGGCCACCGTCAGTGTTTTGTTTCCGCTGGATCCTGACGCGCTGCCTCCTATTTCCGTTTGTGGAGATTGGAGGGAGACGGACCTGAGCGGCGCCTGGGGAGGGCTGGGCTCGGCGGGGGGGCTCTCGCTCAACCCCCTCTTCTCCCCAGAGAACACCCCCAGTTAGCCCTCGGGTCCCCGCCGGGATGTCCCGGAGGCCGCATCCAGGGACACGTCGCCCCACGGAATTCTTGTCTCTCTGAATTCTCCAAAACTTGTCTTCTCCCCACCCCCACCCTCCCCAGCTCCATCCCCTTTCACATCCCCGTCTCCATCCTCCTCCCTCTCCCCACCTCCACTCGGTAATGCCCGGTGCCACTCTCTCTAGCGCGGCGGGGGCAGTCCCCCCCGCCGGTGTTTCGGCTCGTGTCGCCGCGTGTGCACCGGGGCTTCCCGGGGTCCCCTCGCCTGGATTGAGGCAGTTTAGCGTTTAAATCATCCCGGGGCCCCAAGGCTGCCACCGAAACAACTTCTTGTGAGGTGCCCGAGCTTGCTCTTTCATGAAAGGAATGGAGGCGGGTGGTTTTGGAAACTTAAATTGTTTTTTTCCTGCATCCTCTTATGTCTGGAGGCCTATTTTAAGGTATAATCTAAAGTTTACATTATTAACTCCCCGAGGGCAGTGAATCTTTTTTACTTGCTCTTTACCGGTAATTGGAATCTAATGTATCTAATGAGTCCTCTCTAAGCATTTAGCAGAGATTAAAAACCGAGAAAGTTATCACTCTGATATTGTAATAAAGGGTAATTGGATCTCATATTTTAAGATTTAAAGCTGAAAAAAACTTTAAGTGATATAAAATATTCCCTCATTTTATAGCCGAGGTGAGAAAACTGAGACCAGAAGTGGTCAGTTAGGTTATTTGGCTATTGTGAAGCAGGTGTTGAATGGTTATTTAAGGGTAATTGCAGATGTGATTTAGAGGAAGGAACTAAGACCATTTAAAAGTTATTGAAGGAGTGCAGAAAAAGATAATGATTAATTAATTAAGTATAGTTTAGCCACCAATTGTATGCCACGAACTGTAAGAACTGGAGTGACAAATGTAAAAATGAGTCACTTTGAGCTTCGAGGGGTTGAGGGGATGTGGGTGGAATAGAACATATTAACTAATACTAGGATGAAAGTTTTGGTTAGTGAATTAATAGCGATTGTGAGTAGGGAGGAGAGAAGAGAATAAGCATTTATATAGTGCCTACTGCATGCCAGGCACTGTGCGGAGTGCTTCACAGATATTCTCTTATTTGATCCTTATTACAACCCTGTGAAGTAGGTGCTATTATTTTCCCTGTTTTACAGTTGAGGCAGGCAGAGGTTAAGTGACTTGCCCAGGGTTTCACCAGTATTAAATGTCTGAAGCTGGATTTGAACTCAGGTCTTACTAACTTCAGACCTAGGGCTCTATCCATCCAACTGCTTCTGAGTAGAGTCATAATGTTTTCTAATGGTAATGTTGATTTGATTACTGTTCCCAGGGTGAAAAGGAGAGAAGGATGCTAGCAGTCACTGCCCCTTTTGGAATCAGGGCAGATTGCAAAATGTGAGACCCTGTTCTCCCTGATGGATGAAGTATAGTCTGGTGCCCTCTCTATATAGTCCTTGGTTGGTTAGGTGAATTTTCATTCATCCAGCAATCAAGATATCTCAACTTCCAGATGAAGTACCAAAGATGAGTGGATTAAGGTAGGGAAGGAAGGTGTTATTTCTAGGGAAAAGGGCAACTGCAAAGCACAGGATAAATTAACTTTTGATTAACTTTAAAGTCTGGAGACTTTTACTTCACCCTTACATAGCCAGACTTCTAGAAAAACAACTAAACTGATTGCTGCTCTACTGTCTCATCTTCTGCTCCTCAAATCCTTGCATTTTCTTCCCATCTCTTGGTTTCTACAAGGTTACTAATGAACTGTTTATGATAAAAACCAGTGACTTTTCCCTCAGTCTTCATCCTTCATCATCTCTTTGTAAGAATTGACACTCTGGAATATCCCCTTTTTATGGATATTCTCTCCAGGTTTTTCAATTCTATCCCCTATGTATAAGTAAGTCAACAAGCATTAGGTACTTATTGTGTACCAGGTACTGGGCATAGAGATAAAAGAAAAAAAGAGTCTCTGCCTCAAAAAGGAAAGACAACACAAATAGGAGCTGAAAAGTGGGAGCATTGGAGATACCTGCATGAGGGCCAGAAAATGAAGAATGGATGGTCTGGGCCAGGGGTGAGGAGTCTGCTGCCTTGAGGCCACATGTGGCCTTCTAGGTCCTCAAGTTCAGCCCTTTGCCTAAATCCAAACTTCACAGAACAAATTCCCTTAATAAAAAGATTTGTTCTATAAAACTTGGACTCAGTCAAAAGGCTGCACCCAAGAATGTAGAAGGCCACAGGTATCCTACCCCTGGCCGGCCCTTTCCCTCAAAATGTAGTTACTGTAGGAGTAGAGGGAGAAAACAGTTGAATCTGTGGTCTTTAATTATGTGGAGTTTTGAACTGAGATGTCTTCTGTTCTTTTCGTATACATATGTCTCATCAGCTCCCATGGGTTCAACTGTCATCTTATTTTAGATAACTCCTAAATTACCCATCTAGCTGATAGGGTCCAGGCTGATATATATCCAACTGCTTGCAAAACAACCATCTAGATATCTCATAGACATCTTACATTGAAGGTACCACCATCATATCAGTCACCCACCATTAGCAATATCAGAATTACCCTGGATCCTTTCCTCTTAAAATCCCCATATTTTATTTATTGACAGGTCTCATCAGTTCTCTAATATATACATTACACACATACACACACAGACATATGTAATATAGAGATATAAGTTCTCTGACTCCATATCCAGTGCTTTTTCTACTGTACGATGCTACCCTTTTTGTAAGACATAGTTTTGGCCATGCTATTACAGTGCTTAAGAATGTTCAATGGCACCCTATGGCTCTTAAGATAAATATGGCATTTAAAGCCATTTACAATATGGTTCAGCTTACTTTTCTAAAAATTTAAAAATACCAAGTAAGTTGAGCATTTCCATAAATAAACAAAAAAAAGAAACTGTGGAACTATTACATTCCTTTTGCTCTAAAGCAGGGGTGTCAAATTCAAATAAAACTGATCTAGAAAACTACAAATTAAGATTATAGATGTTGCATTTGTATTTATTTTGTTAAACATATCCCAGTTGCATTTTAATCTGTTTCAGGCTGTGCTTGGGAGTTTTGCAGGCTATTTGGGGATGGAGTTTGACACTTCTGCTTTAAAATGTTTAATGAATTAGGTGTCTGACCAAACTAAGCATTCCACAGAGCCTGCTTCAGTTGCCTTCATGGTCTTTGGTTTCAAGAAGTTGTAGCATGTACAGTGTTCACACCCTGGTAAAAAACATCTCAGCAGGCTGCTAAACTAGGCTGATGGTAACAAACCGGGCCTCAAATTCAGGCAGACTGGATGGGGCACTCAGAGCTTAGCCAAGTTCTAACTTAGAGGATTCAGTGGATGACCTTGGTGTCTTCCATGTCTAACCAAGCTCTAAGTACTCCACAGAGTCTGCTTCGGCCACCTTCGTGGCTGCTGGAACAAGTTGTTCTCATCCACCCATTCCACCAGGGAAAGTCTTCACATACTTGGGTTAGACATTCCCCCTAACTCACCAAAGGGTTTGAGACCCCTGGGTTACCCTCATCCTGGTTTAGCCTGTCTGCTAAAACATTTACTGGGGTGTGGCCCCTGTGCATAATACACCTTCTTGGAGCTACAGGTGAAAAGTGGATCAGGTAGACACCACAGGTGGAAAGGAGACTTGAAAAGGGCCTCAGACACATAACACTTACTAGCTGTGTGACCCTGGGCAAGTCACTTAACCCCATTGCCTAGCCAAAAAAAAAAATAGTTCTGTAGAAATTATGAAAGGGATAGTTTCAGAGAAACTCTGGAAGATTCATGTGTGCAGAGTGAAGTGAACGGGACCAGAGCAATTTTTATACTACAACAGCAATTTGTAAAGATAAACAACTTTGAAAGACTTAGGAACTCTAATCAGCAATGATCAATCACAATTCCAAAGGACTTGTAATGAAATATGCTATCTCCTGATAGGTGATAGAGTAAGAGTGC